CCTCAAACCGCATCCCGTTCCGGTGTTTTGATCTGACGAGGTTCAAACGGGTCAAACCGAGCTGGAATCGGCCTTTAATGGTTGATTTTATCCCTCCAGGTCAACACGGATGAGGAGGGAGGTGAAGAGGAGATGGAGTGGCTGATGGAGGAGCTGGAGGCCCCGCTCACCTCCACCACCACCTCCTCCTCTCAGCGCGGCAGGAGTAACCATAGCAACGGTCACATCAGGACCAAGCCGGTGAACACGGACGGCCTGCGCTCGTTCTCCCTGGACGAGGGGGAGGACGACAGTGAGGACGAGGTGCTGAGCGTGCCGGGGGTCCGCGGGGCCAAGGCCTCCACGGCCCACCGCAGCGCCTTCCTGCAGGTGGGTTTAGGTTTATACCTCATTAGGGTCAGAGTTTTAGTTTAGTCAAGACTAAACAAGAGTTCAACAGTCCAAATTGCCCAGAACTGACGATTTATGTCACATAAAACCGAACATTTAGTCAGGTCAAGTCAAACTTTATTTATAGAGCACATTTAAAATAACCGAAGTTTCCAAAGTGCTGTACAGGTAAAAATAAACATAAAAAGCTAACATAATTTACATGTATATGTGATTTTAATGTAAAATAAAAAGGTAAAATGGTGCTCTACCTCAACCTAAGGTTAAAATGTTAAAAGCCATGTCAAATAAATGAGTTATTAAAGAGGACTTAAACACCTCTACGGTCTGGGCAGCAAAGTGCTAAAACCTCATTGGAAACATCAGTATTTTGTATGGAAACGTTTGAGTAGAGTTGATAGATACTTTATTGATCCCCAAGGGGAAATTCAAGTAAAACAAGATTAAAAAAAAAAAAAGTTTTTTAAAAGTCTGTTTCTGACCTTTTTTTGAGACGTCAGACAACCGAAGGATCCATAAACTGTCAATCCTATCATCAAACTACCGACCTACAGCTTTAGTTTAGCCGAATAGGGAATGTCTAACCGGTGTGGGGAACGCTCCCGTTTCAGGAGGAGAGTGACGAGGACCTCGTGGGTCTCCTGGACGAGTCGGACCGGAGGAGCCGGGGCGGCCGCCGTCGCCCCGGCAACCGGAAACGGGACGAGGACGACAGCGACGAGGACCTCCTCCGGGTGTGACCCCCCCCCTATCCCCCCCCCCCCCCCCCAAAACTGGAGGTGCCAACAGCCTCTCTGTGATTTCCTCGGACTCGTTTTTATTTATTGAGAGCTCAATATTTGAACTCCCTGTCAGGCCACTTTAATTTCCTTTTTTCCCCGCTCTCGCCCGGACAGAACTTCCTTCATTCTCTGTAGTTGCCGGCCCCCCGGGTTTCCGGGGTAACGGGTTTCCGGGGTTACGGGGGAGTCGGGCCATTGCTTTTGCACTTTGGTCCCCCCTCTTCCACCCGGAGGTGTCGGGTTGGCCCCGTTTCTAAAGGGAATGAAGACGCCCGTCTGTATTTTCTGGCTGTTTACAGTTGCTTTTAGAGCAGGTCTTCTCTCTTTGGTCCCCCTCCGAAAGACGCACGATGCCTTCCTGATGACGAATTGTGTCCGGCGACAGATTGATTTCCGTCTCCTTTCGATGGGAGACGTGTACATAGACCGCGATGTTCTGTAAAGATCTGTTTTGTTTGTCATTTTCACCCGTGAGTTTGTTTTTACGATTATTTAAAAATGTGGTTTGAGCTGGGTTTTTTTTGTTTTTTTTCTGTGTTTCTCTGTTTTTTTTGTGTGAAAATAGAGTTGGCCTTAAGTGTGAATGGAAAGTTGACTGAAGGGAAACAGGAGATGTTCGTCTGGATTGTGTCGGTCTGAAACCCCCCCCCCCCCACCCTCCGCTAAAGCCATATTTGTCCTGCCAAAACCGGCTCTGAAGTAAGACAGTTAGGATTTTTCTGTAGCTCAGCTCGGTACGTCCGGTGGAAAGTGAGTTTAACCTCATTTGGACTCGCATTTTATGTATTTTCTGCCCTACAAGTGTTTTACAACGGACAAAAAACAGTGTTTCTGGTATCAGTCGTGAACCCCGAAGTATAAAAAACTGCTTAGTAAGCAAAGTATTTAAGCTTTTCTTCATAATTTTAGCTGAAATTCTCATTTTGTTCAGCTTAAATCAGGTTTTTGACTTTGAAAGTAGATTTTATTTACCTGATTTATGTGAGATTTTTTTGTTTAGTCAAGATACAAAATGAGACTCGGTTCAAATTGCCTAGAAAAATGAACATTCAGGGTTTTTTTTCCTGGTTTGAGGCGTCTAAACACCTACATTTCTCCTCAAATCCCTGAAAACCGAAAGAATAATTTGAATTATCCAGAAATGGATTAAATCCTTTCCAACAATCGGGAGCCAAGCTTGTGTAAAGAGAACATTTTGATCCAGAATGAGACAATTTCAGCAGTTTTTTTCTCAGTGGTTCAGTCTTTACAGCCCAAATTTATCGATCAAACATCATTTCATCACTCAAATCTGGAAAAAAAATAACTCCACCTTTCAGGGTATTTCTAAAGCTTTCTACAAACGTTTCCTAAACGAGCTTTTCTAAGATGACATTTGCCCAAAGTGCTAAAAAAAAAAAAAGGAAAAGAAAACATCCTTGGAAACATCAGTATTTTGTACGGAGAAGTTTGAGTTGTGCCATTCTAGTAAAACAAGACTTTAGCAAATGTTAGCACGTCATCGTTTTGCTGTAGAAAAAGTTCCCTTTTTCTGACCTTTTTTTTGAGACGTCAGACAAGAGAAGGATCCATAAACTGTTAATCATATCATCAAACTACCGACCTAAAGCTTTAATTTTACCTCTGACGGCATAAGAAAGGCGAGCAGGGATCCAAAGAGCAAAGAAATGACACAGGTTCATGTCTTTGATCTGAATATGATTGTAAATCCAGCCGAAGTGATTTCCAGCCGGCTGGATCTTGGCCGGCTTTTTTGAGTTTTTAGTTAAATTCAGTTTTGCTGATTTCAGCATAATTTAGAATCCTCGAACCTCCTGAGAAGTAGCAGCAGGAGGTTCGGCTCAGAGTGAGAGAGCTGTGGGCTTCTGTTGTTGTTTTTTTTTGTGTATTTTTTTTTTCTTTTTTAATCCATGCTCGGTCGGTGAATCAAAATGGCTGAAATCACAATTCGAATCAAAACAGAAAGGCAGCGGGATTAAAACGGGACTAAAAGGAGAAGCGATCGGTGGTGATTTGGTACGATGGCGGGTCGTTATTATGTTTCATTTGGTGGGAGTCATGTTGTCTGATATTATGTACGCAGCTGTTTGCCTGTTTTCCTATTTAAAAGAAATTTGGTGTAAAAAAAAAAAGTATTATTTGAATAAATAAGAGATCTGCTGTTTCTCGCTGTGTGGCTCAATAACAATCTGTGTATGCAAAAAAAGTGGAAGAAATAAGGACCTGAAGTCGGTTACGAGACTAATTAATCTTTTGGTTAACACAAACTATACAATACTTGGTTTGAATCTTAATTCTAAACATCAGGACACATTTAAAAACTTTCTCATTCTCATTTTAATGGGACAGAAACTGACTTTTTGTGGATTTGTGTCTCCCTCTGCTCAGCTCTCTGAAGAGATTGTCTGCTGGGAAAAAAAAACGTTTTTATCAAGTTAATCAATTGTGATGCGTTCTCCATTAAACAGATCTGCTCCGTCCCTGTTCAGATTCAAACTCTTCGTCTCTTAGACGAAGAGTTTGATTAGATTTCAGACATAAATCTTGAGATCTTGACTGAGTCCATCAGTCTTGGAACAGTTTGACTTTCTGATTCCACATTTGAAGCTTCCTTTCCAGGTCTTGACGCTTCAGGGCTGTTCAGATGTTCTATTAGGAGGAGGAAGAGGAGGGGGAGGAGGATTTGTGTCCCTCTGAACAGGTTCTTTGCTGGAAAAGAAAGTTTTTATCAAATTAATCAATTGTGATGCGTTCAGATTTGAACTCTTCGTCTCCCACGAGTTTAGATTTCAGACATAAGACAACAGTTTGACTTTCTGATTCCACATTTGAAGCCTCCTTTCCAGGTTTTGAGGCCTCAGGGCTGTTCAGATGTTCTATTAGGAGGAGGAGGGTGAGGAAGAGGAGGAGGCCCGTCCAGGTTCCTACGTTCCGTCTGACGTCTGTCTCTAGATTGCAAACCTGTTTTCACGCTCTGGTGCTCAGTACCGACGCGTTCATGTGGACCTTTGCTCTGTCCCTGTTCAGATTCAAACTCTTCGTCTCTCACGAGTTTAGATTTCCCTTAAATTTCAGACATAAATCTTGAGATCTTGACTCTTGAGTCCATCAGTCTTGGAACAGTTTGACTTTCTGATTCCACATTTGAAGCCTCCCTCTCAGGTGTTGAGGCCTCAGGGCTGTTCAGATGTTCTATTGGGAGGACGAAGAGGAGGAGGAGGATCCCTCTGAACAGGTTCTCTGCTGGAAAAGAAAGTTTTTATCAAGTTAATCAATTGTGATAGATTTCAGGCATATCTTGACTCTGAGTCCTTTAGTCTTGGAACAGTTTGAATTTCTGATTCCACATTTGAAGCCTCCCTTTCAGGTGTTGAGGCCTCAGGGCTGTTCAGATGTTCTATTCAGGCTCTGGAGGAAGAGGAGGAGGAAGATTTGTGTCCCTCTGAACAGGTTCTCTGCTTGAAAAGAAGTTTTTATCAAGTTAATCAATTGTGATGCGTTTCTCCATTAAACAGCATGACAGCAAGATCTGCTCGGTCCCTGTTCAGACTCAAACTCTTTCTGATTCCACATTTGAAGCCTCCTTTTCAGGTCTTGAGGCCTCAGGGCTGTTCAGATGTTCTATTAGGAGGAGGGTGAGGAGGGTGAGGAAGAGGAGGGTGAGGAAGAGGAGGAGGCCCGTCCAGGTTCCTGACGTCTGTCTCTAGATTACAAACCTGTTTTCACGCTCTGCTGCCTCCGTACCGACGCGTTCCCGTGGACCTTTGCCCCCGGCCGGTTTTCCCCTTTATAAATCCCACCCTCCCGGCTCAGCTCCCTCTCACACACACCGTCCAGGCCGTCCGTCTCCGTGGAAACCGCCATCGCCATCGCCATGACCTCGTTCGACGACATCCTGGAGGAGGCGGGGAAGTTCGGGCGCTGCCAGCGGCGGGTGTTCGGCCTGCTGTGCCTGGTGTCCATGCCCTGGGCCGGGGTCTACGTGGGCATCGTGTTCCAGGGCTTCACGCCGGAACACTGGTGCCGGGACGCCGCGGCGACCGTCGCCGGGCAACGCTGCGGCTGGAGCCCCGAGGACGCCCGCCGGCTGATGTCGCCATCGTCGTCGTTGCCAGGCAACGGCTCCGGCGGCGGCGGATGCAGCCGGTACCTGGTGGACTGGAACGCCACGGCGATGAGATGCGACGCCGCCCAACAGCCGCAGCTCAGCGGGACGCCCACCGCCGCATGCACCGAGGGGTGGGAGTATGATTATGAGGGCAGGCAGTCCTTCGTCACCGAGGTGAATCGCTTAAGAAAAACACACAAAAAAAAGACATATTTGTTCGTTTAACTTTGATTTTCAAGCCTTTAAAAAAGCACTAAAAAAACATATTTGTTTATTTAACTTTTATTTTCAAGCCTTTAAAAAAAAACATAACATATTTGTTTATTTAACTTTTATTTCAAGCCTTTAAAAAATATATATAACATATTTGTTCGTTTAACTTTTATTTTCAAACCTTGAAAAAAAACTATAACATATTTGTTCATTTTAACTTTTATTTTCAAGCCTTTAAAAAAAAAAACTATAACATATTTGTTCACTTAACTTTTATTTTCAAGCCTTGAAATCCATGATTATGTGATAAAACGCATAAAAGTGCACAAAGGAATCAATAAAAAATTATAAATATTAAAGTTTATATCCAGGCATCAGGAACATTTATGATGCTCTCTATAAATTCCTCATTTGAATAATGTTTTTTTACCCCTTTATGGCTTTCTTAAAATGTAATGGCCTGATTGAAAAACAGGACTATTTGTTTTAACAAAACAAATAAAAAAAAATTAAATTCAGTTAGCTGCACGCTTTTAATTACGGTGACCAAAAAAAAAGTATTTATGTGTAATATGTATAATGTATAATAATATGTAATATGAGAACATTTAGCTGAATGAAATCCTGATGAAAAAATATCACCAAACACTGTCAGAACACACAAAAGAGCCACTTTTATCTTAAAAATATCTGGAATATCATGAATATTGATAAATTGGTGGAGAAAATCACCACTTTTTCTAGATGTAGGTATTTCTCTCCTTAAAACACCATTTTCATATTGAATGGATCGTTTTAAATTAGGGAAACATCTCAAACCTGCAGGACGGCAGAGTTTTGATCCCTGATTTTAGTGGTTTTGACTCCATCCTTATATGCAAAGCAAAACAAACGAATCTTAACTACTCAAAGCTCTGAATATTCTCTTTTGGCAAAAGCTCAGACTTAGAGACACTTTACGGCCTCTTTATTTAAAGCAAACAACTATTGAATTATTTGAGTTTGTATCCAGGCATTTTAAATATTTATGCTCCTCTCCATAACTTCCTCATTTGAAAAATTGATTGTACCCTTTATGACTGTCTTAAATTTAATCAATTGAAAAACAGGACAATTTTATTTAACAAAACAAATTAGAAATATTTAAATTCAGTTAGCTGTGCGCTTTTAATTACGGTGACCAAAAACATTTTTATTTATGTGTTATATGTATAACGTATAATAATATGTGACAACAATATAAGAACATTTAGCTGAATTAGAAAATCCTGATGGAAAAAAAGATGACATGAAATAGACTTTTTTTTTTTTTAATGACAAAAATATCACAAAACACATTCATCACAGAAAAAGAGCCATTTTTATCTTAAAATTGGCTGGAATATCATGAATATTGCTAAATTGGTGGAAAAAAATCACCACTTTTTCTATATGTAGGTATTTTTCTCTTTAAAACACCTGTTTCAGATTGAATACATTGTTTTAAACTAGGAAAACATCTCAAACCTGCAGAGTTTTGATCCCTGATTTTAGTGGTTTTGACTCCATCCTTATATGGAAAAGCAAAACAAACGAATCTTAGCTATTAAAATCTCTGAATATTCTCTTTGGCAAAAGCTCAGGCTTAGAGACACTTTACGGCCTCTTTATTTAAAGCAAACAACAAAGAAATCTGTCAAAAAATCTTATTAATTGGCATTAGATAGCTATAAATCCTTCACTTCTTGTATCCCACCCCTATCCCAGACATACAGATCCAGTTTAATTTAAGGGAAATGGCTTTGTTGACGTTATTCTGTGTGTCTGGGACAGTTTGACCTGGTGTGCTCGGACGCCTGGCTGGTGGACATGTATCAGGCCACTCTGAACGTGGGATTCCTGGTGGGGAGCATCGCCATTGGTTACCTGGCCGACAGGTGGGTCAACCCCCACCGTTTCCTCATCATTTGTCTGCTTAATCTAGACCAGTGTTTTTCAACCACTGTGCCTCGGTACACTAGTGATGGTCAGGTGTGCCGTAGAAAATCATCTTATTTCACCTAATTGGTCTAAAAAGACTTTTTGATAAGGAATTAATTATCTGCAAATAATTTTTGAGTGTCTGTGCTGTACTAGTGACTGGTGGAGTAATCATGTAATAATTCCTTATGACTGTGTTTTGTATATAATTTTGCATATTGAAGTGGACATGTTTAGTGCAATTTGAAAGAAGAAATATAAAATATGATAAAAATACATTTTTGTGTTTATTTAATTCCTATTCAAGACACTTAAGATAAGAATAAAATAAGAATAACTATAGTGTTACTACAGATTTGTTTAACATTTTTGGTTGGTGGTGCGCCTCGACATTTTTTTCAATGAAAAAATGTACCTTGGCTCAAAAAAGGTTGAAAAACACTGATCTATAGAGGAACGCAACACGAATAGCTGATGCTGTTCTTCTTCTTCTTCTTCTTCTTTTTATCGGTGATCAGTCCCGGGGTTTTAAACAAATGTTTTTTTGCGGGTTGTCCGATAGTGTTTTTCATGTTTTTACAGACTGTATACGGTTATCAGATATCAGAAATCAGAAATACTTTAATAATCCCAGAGGGAAATTATTTTTGTTACTGGCTCTATAAATAAAACAGCGGCATATACATATATACATGTCTGTACATATATATATATATATACACACAAAATTCCTCATATGATATAGATAGATATATACATAAATAAAATAAAAAAAGTTTTTATTAACGGTGTACATCACAGTCGAACCACTAGTTTTAAATCCCGCGCTTTAAATTATTTAATAGCTGAAGCCAAAATGGCTATTTATATAACTCGAAGAGACAAAATGCAGGCTGGACCTCCACTGGTCAATATCAAGGCCAGGTTGAGATTGGAGTTTTGTTTCCACAGAGACACCGGGAATCTGAAGGGGTTTTTTTTAGTACTGTGGGGTTTTAATAATGTATTGTGCACCGTTTGTGATCGGGGAGAACTAAAATATAATAAGCTGCTATTGTAAATATTTATTGCGTTTTTTAGTATTCTCTAAACTGATTATGTACCGTTTTTTTGTGTTAAATTATTGAGTAATAAATAATTTGCTAAAAATCTAAAAAAAAAAATCTTCTTCTTCTTCTTCTTCTACTTGGTATTTTTGATCAGTAGTGTATTTATTTATGCAATTTAATCGTGTGTATCTTGTAAATAAAGGGTTTGTCAGACTCTTCTTCTTTTTCTTCTTCGTATTATTGTTGTTATTATTATTGTTAATGTTATATGTATTGCTATTTTTGGTAGTTTTATTTAGTTTTGTACATATTATCATATTGATTTATTTAAACAATGTGTGTAAAGTACCTGTATTAAGGTAAATAAAGTGTTTGTAAAACTCACAAAAACTCTTCTTCTTCTTCTTCTTCAGGTTTGGCAGGAAAATGAGCTTCCTGATGTCCAACTTACTGAACGGGATCGCGGGAATCCTGGTGGCCGTGGCCCCCAACTACGTTTCTCTGCTGGTTTTCAGGACGCTCTATGGGTTTGGAGTCAAAGGAGGCTGGGTGGCTGGATATGTGCTGAGTAAGCCTAAAAAAAATCACCTTAAATTATGTATTTATCTGAGTGAATAAAACCATTTAATGTGAAACAAGACAGCATCATAAACTTGGATTTCGCATATTTATTCCAGGTAATATGTGTAATTTTGCATGTAGAAATGGGTTTTTAAAGGGCCGTTTTTAATTGGTTTTGGTCTTCTTTTGTTCATTTAAGCAAAAGTGGCGGGTCGAGTGGAAATACATCATCCTAAATTTTCAAAAATGACTAATTTAGCCCGTTTTTTTCCTTTAAACTCAGTTTTGCTCCAGTTTGCTGCTTAATGCTGCAAACTGAAGCCTATAAGATGTGTTTACATGCCTCTAAAACCTGGTTTTCCCGCCACCCTTTCTGCTCATTATCGCCATCTGCTGGCAGGGACCAGTACATCCACTCACCTTTATATTTTGTGGTTATTTTTGGCGAGTTGTGTGCTTTTTGAGCTCCATGTTTCAGCATTTTATTTGCATTTGCATCTCTCTAAATTGCGCCCACCTAAAAAGTAGAAATATATTCTATTCCTCCATTGACTGGTGACATTCAGACATTAAGCATTTTCATGTTTTGCTTATTTGACTGTGTGAAAGGGACAGTTTAGAAAATAAAGAATGAAACGGGCTCTTTTTGGGTTGAATTACTCTAAAATCTTGACTATAAAAGTAAGAAATCTGCTTTCTTTTAGTCAGAGATCGTGGGGTTGGAGTTCAGACATTAAGCATTTTCATGTTTTATTGTTTTATTTGACTGTGTAAAAGGGACAGTTTAGAAAATAAAGAATGAAACGGGCTCTTTTTGGCTTGAATTACTCTCAAATCTTGACTATAAAAGTAAAAAATCTGCCTTTTTTCAGTCACAAAGATCGTGGGGTGGAGTTCAGAATGATAAAACAGGCTCTTTTAGGGTTGAATTCCCCTAAAATCTTGAGTATAAAAGTAAAAAATGTTCCTTCTTTTAGTCAGAGATCGTGGGGTTGGAGTTCAGACATTAAGCATTTTCATGTTTTATTGTCTTATTGTTTTATTTGACTGTGTAAAAGGGACAGTTTAGAAAATAAACAATGAAACGGGCTCTTTTTGGGTTGAATTAAAATCTGCCTTCTTTCAGTCACAGAGATCGTGGGGGTGGAGTTCAGGCGCACGGTGGGCGTGATTTACCAGATGTTCTTCAGCGTTGGCATCCTGATCCTGCCCCTGCTGGCCTACTTCATCAGGGACTGGCGCTGGCTGCAGGTGGTCATCACCGCGCCCTACATCCTCTTCCTGTCCTACTACTGGTGAGCTCTCAGACCATCCCATCACCTCTAGTTTCACAAAGCAAACGTGATGCATCCCTTTTTTATCCAAAATACTTATTCCGCGACTTATTAGGGGGGCCACTGCCAGCGGCAAGGCCCACCTATTACTATCCAAAATACTTATTCCGCGACTTATTATCGTTCTCCCGTTTCCGCGCACCACTACTCGACTACTTTGACGATGGATCGGGCCCAAAGCCAGCACGCGCGTCCGGAACCACCTAGCCATGCGTGCTATTTCATAACTTTCTCAAAGGAGCAGGCGTTTTCGAATAAATGGAGAAAAAGCGGCCAAAACGTGTCAGCAAAACTGTCAACAAACTGTGTCAACTGACAGTTTGGAATGTTGAGCTTGGCCAGACTGCTGTTGCCGTGGCGATGAGCAGTCCATGAGCTGAGCTGTGGAGCTGATTGATGCACTTGTTCTGGAACCAGGTGGTCGAAGCCCGCTTAGATTCCTTTAGTCAGAGCCCGGTTCTGGTTCTGGTTCTGGGGATCGGACCCAACCGGGTCGGAACCGGACCGGGGCCGTACCCAGCCATGTCATACCTCGTTGCGTAGGTCTTTTTCTCAGCTTTCAGCCAATGTGACCCCCACCCTGCTCAAACCAATTGCTTTCGGCCCTCTCATAGGCGCGAGCCATCATTAATAACAGCCCAAATATTGATTGGCCGACCTGCCGGGCCCCGGTAAGCCAGCCCCGGGTTCCTGGACGGGCAATAGGTGGCCCCCCGTCAAAATTTCTTTAGAAATTTTCTAGTTTTTACCTTTGTCTTTACCTTCCCAGGTTCATCCCAGAGTCTCCGAGGTGGCTCCTGTCGCAGAACAAGAAAGCCAGAGCTGTGAAAATAACCGAGGACATGGCCCGGGAAAACAACAGGACTCTGTCCAAGAACATCGAGGTAGCTGCTGACTCGGCAAAAAACAGATGATTTTCGGTTCAGTTTATTTCCTGAAAACAGTGGCTTCAAACTATCTTAGTCGCGTTAGTTCTTTAACTCATTCGCTGCCAAAGACGTCTATAGACGTCTTTTATGTTTTTCAACGCGATTGGCTGGGGGACGATCTGCTAAAGCTTGTCCGTAAATATCAGGCTTCTAGACAGAGTATGTAGTAACAAATTGACCCTCTAGGGGGCAGTGCCACTTTTGATGGGAGACTAGCATAGACTGTAGACAAATAACAAAAAGGAAACGGTTCGCTATGAGAGAACATGTCGCCGGTGAGACGCAAGTTGACAAAGAACGGAATAAGGTAAAAACAATTTATTTTCCTGATGAAAGAAGAGAGTCTACTCTTTCTTTTGGTGTGTTCGGTGTTTAGATAGTCATAGCACAAACTATTCTGTGGCTCTTGAAAAATCAGTCAAAATGCTCCAAAAACTCTGGCAGTCAAAGAGTTAAGATGTCTTTTCTTGATCGTTCATTCTTGGATGGTGTCGGTTCTAAATACCGAGGTTTTAAACCTTTCAAACACTCTTTAACTGGATTATTTTAACTCTGTTGGTGCGTTTAGACTCTATGTATTTATTTATCTCAACTATTCCTTTATGTTATCTTTCATTTCCTTTTTTCTGTGGAATTTCTGTCCAACGGAGTTCCCCAAGGGTCAAATCTGAGACCTCCATTGTTTTTTCTGTACGTGTTGCCCATAGTTTCCCTCTTGGATAACTACTTTACTGATGGTGTTCAAGTTTATCTCACTGCTTTTTTCAATGATATGAACGGAACGGACTTGTACAGCCCACAAAAACGTCCACAGGGTCGAATTAGCTTGTAAATACGGGTCAGACATCAAAGCTCTGCAGCCAGAAGTGTGAAAAAGTGCCTTTATTTAAAAAGTATTTTAAATGCTTCAGACAAATGTTTCTGACAACAGAACCTAAAACAAAGGAAAATCAATCAATGTTTATTTATATAGCACTTTACAACAACCAGAGCTGACCAAAGTGCTTTACAATAATTAAAACAGATCAAACAATCAAAATATACAAAGACAAACGCATTGGTGAAAGAACACAGTTTACAGTGATTTTAAGTGCAAAACGCCATTCTGAACAAATGTGTTTTAAGTTTAGCTTTGAACAGAAGCAGGTCAGTGTTCTTTTTTTTTGCTTATTATTCAATTATTTTGTTTAGATCTTGAAAATGGTTAAATATTGAATAACTAAAGCGTTTGCTGGCTGATTTGAATGGTGTTTGTTTAGTTTGTGTGATGCCATGTGCTGTTTTGTTCAGGCTCTTTGGCTTTTGGATGAACAGGACAGACTTGACCCGGTTTCTGTTTTTCTGTTTCAGACTCTGACTGACGATAACGCGGCCGACTCCCACACCGCCTCCTTCATGGACCTGATCCGGACGCCCAAAATGAGGAAACACACCTTTATCCTGAGCTACAACTGGTGAGTCCTCACGGGGGGGGGGCTTCTTTTGTCTGTGACTGAAAAATGAAAAATGATCCAACGAGACGTGTTCTGAGTCCTTCCATTGTTTTGGAAATGTGTATATTTAGACTTTATTCAGATTTTTTTCCCTCCAGCACCTTCACTTGTTTCTTAACAATTTGTTGTGGAATATTTTTGTTTTAATAATTTAAAAAAATGA